CTTGCGAACATGATGGTGAATCTCGTGTCCTGCAAGACTCAGGTCAGCATCAAAGGCCTTGGTCCACACCAACTCCCGATTCAGCAAAGTATACGCCGATAGTTCCACTTGGCGGTCTGCCTTCACCTCATACCCGCAATGAACACCAATCACGTGGGTCGGTGTGGGCCGGATGAAACACACCCTTTGGCTCTTTACATTCATCCAGCGCTGGTACCCGTTTTGGAAGGAGTCCAAGTGTTTGAACGGCATGTAAGCGCCTGAGTTCCCTAAATATATCGTTGACTCATTGTTCGCCAAACGCTGCTCCTGCATCGGCGGCACCCGAGTCCACTGGCTGTTGCAACGACCATGGACACAGTTTAAAGTAGTCGTGGCACCCCCCAAATGTCATCTCCCATGCTACTGACGCCATGACAAGTATAGCGAGCAAAGAGTGCCCTGCGACAAAAAAACAATGCGAGCCAAATGCTGTCGAGAACCCCTATGGCATGCTCTGACTTGGCCACCCAAGTTGAGTGGTTTGGCCACCTATCCATATTGAGTTTGACCATTCGTCCCCACAGAAAAGGAACATTCAAACGTGGAACGAAAATCCATTTGCAGGGCTACCAGTGCAAGCGCAAGAGAAACGTCACTGCGGTCGAAAACAATGCTGCGCCAGCCGAACTGGCATTCTCGACCAGGCCTCCGAACATTCGCGTTTACTCTGCCTGTAAAGCTTTGATGCTGACAGAAACAGCAAGCAACAGGAGCGAGCCCTATAAGCCCTGCAAAGCAAAGCGAGCCCTATATATAAGCCCTGCTTATCTTGCGATGACCTCTATAGTCACAATGGTTCCAAGTGTACTGCAGGCTGTCATCGAATACAATGGCATAATTACAGTATAATGCAATAATTGACTGTCCACACAACATGAGACTTGGAGGTGGCTCGCCTGCACGGCTCCTGCGCAAAAGCCTCAAGCATTGCACATCTATGTGAAAGCAATGAGATGTTGATACCTTCCTTTCAGAAAGCCACAACACAAAGGTGCAGCAAACACCCAAAAAAAAACATGGCCCCACAACCATGCTGTTGATGTGATGCTCAACCAGCTGCGCAAAACCCTGCGCAGTAAAAGAAAGAACACTGCCATCAACAACTACCATCAGTACGCTTGTCGCTGCCATCAGACTGCGTCAACGACCATGCATACTCCCTATAGCAAAGTGTCTGCGCATCTGCGCGCTGAGCGCCTGGCCTGGATCCGTGCCCACAAAGTACTTCCAGCCAGCGTCAAACATTGCCAACTGTAGTTTCTGTGCTACGAGGCCAAGTCAAAACACCGTTGCAAAAGAGAACAAAACTTTTCATCTTACGAACAAACGGGTCGTGGTCCACCCACTAAACAAAGTTCTTTGTCCAAAGCATTACTGAGACCTTGCATTTGATCATGTGTCCCTATAGAGTTCTTGCCACCAAGAACTGACAGGTCTGAAAACGAGCTCGTCAAAGAAGACACACGCACTACTAAGAGTTCGCCCTGCTTACTGTCACAAACCCACCGCAAAACATTTTTTGAGTTTACTTTGGTAGACCCACATGCTCAAGTCCACACGGATAAAAAAACAACAAACAATTTAGCGATCACAAACCCGGAAATAGAATAGATTTTTTTAGAAATGTTGCTTTTCCCAGCCATCCTTGGACAACTTGGAATCATGTTAGACAACATGGGCAAGTGCCCTAAGTCCACTTAGTCGATGCGCTAAGTCCACTTAGCGGACACTGCTAAGTCTACTTAGCGGGTTTGCTAAGTCTACTTGCCAAGTGCGCCAGGTTCAACTTAGTACCTTCGCTAAGTTCAGCTGGCTATATCCGCCAAGCTAGTTGCATGTCAGTTGCATGTTAGCCATCTGGATGACAAGTTGGCCACATACTTACAAGAAGGGCCGGTCATCCAAGTAGGATCGCTTGGAACTAAAAGAAATTCGTTCTGCCATTTCACATCTGAATCGAAGCGATCCCACTTTGCTTATAAGCCCTCTCGACAACGTCGGCGTCTGTCATTTGACCGAAGCCGCCTGTGGCCGTAGCAGCCACGTTCATCGCTGTGATGGCCCCGCACTGCAAACTTGAACCAGAAACGAGATTTGCAAATATCTTTGTCTTGCATGAAAATATCTTTGCCCCCTCTTAAAGCTGGCATATACGCTTTCTAATCTTATTTGTGATGGCTCTTCTGACATGGCGCTGTTCTGTGTAAACATATGTCTTATCACAAGTTTTCTGTGTGGTCAGAGCAGACTGTCCCATTAATTGTTTTGGTGAAATACATGCGACAATCGCAATGGCTTCAGTGTTTTGAAATAGCAGCCAGGATTTTGTTGAGTAATCGCCAGAACGAGAATGCAAAATAGAGTTAATGAACGCAGCACATAAAATGGGCAGAAACCTTCAACCTGATTTCTTTCACATTGAAAAAATTACAAAAAATTAGACTAAGCAGTTCTAAGTCTTCGTACTTCCCTCCATCCACCGCAAGTGTGGCTCCAACCCGCGCAGGAATGCCAGTCGAAGCTTCGAATTCGAGCTAGGCCCGCCGACCATTGCCACAGCTGCGCTGGGTGCCTGACAACCAAAAAAAGAAACTGCGGCGAAACATGTTCTGTCTCCCTCGTGTTGCGGTGAACTGATTGCTCGGCGAACAACATACTGAGCTTTCGGCTGCCACAGATGGGTTTGGTGCAGTGTCGCAAAATTGTGCTCAGACCGCACTTGTATTGAGCTTTAACTGGTTCAAGTGCAAAATGTCTACAGTCTCTAATCACATCGCAACACAGTTTGCGCTGCCAGTTGGCAATGCGGGCTAGGCCCGCTGACCATTGCCACAGCTGCGCTGGGTGCCTGCCAACAAACAGCGAGGTGCTCTGTCTCCCTGGTGCGAGAGAGGTTTCTGACACACTCAGCACATCCGGATGCGGTGTGCATTCCTCCACGAAGAACATATACTGAGGTAGGCGTACGTATGACCACTACCGCGGATGGGTTTGGTGCAGGGACTGCTGGAGTCAAGGTGGGTCTTATCCAGATGCGGTGCTGAGACTGGTGGAGACCCCGCTGCCGGAGTATGAACTGAAGGGAAAGCAACATGCAAAATGCTGACGCTTCTGAAAAGAAAACAATTGCGAACATGGTGTGCGTTGTTCGGAAGGGACACATCACAATATATTACATTCTCAGCCAACCACAACTACCACACTGCTGGGTGCTGTGAGTGGTGGAGACACTGTGGCCGGAGCCCTATCATCTGAAACACAGTCTTCTGGGCTCACACAGCGAACGTGTAAAGTAAGCAGTGGAACTGGCTCAAGTGCAAGAAACCTACAGCGCGGTGCCTGACATATGGGAAGTGAACTGTCATTGGTCTGTGGAGAAAAGAGCCCTGCGACCGTAATCACCACATCTAGACGCTGTGTGCATACACCGCCAAAAAAGAACGTACTGAGCTAGGCGTTTCGCCAGCTGTCGATGGGTTTGGTGCAGCGACTGGTGGAGCCAAGGTCGGAGCCTGAGAATGAAGCGCGGAGCTAGAAGTGCGGAGCTCTAGAAGGCATCAAGACACAAGTGCAAAAGGCACCACAAGACAGCCACAGAGCCACCGGAGTGGACCCAATAGGCACCGAGACACAGGGACAAAGCCACCAGAATGGACCCAAGGCACCGAGACACAGGTGCAAAGCCACCTGAGTGGACCCAAGCCACCAAGACACAGGTGTAAAGCCACCTCAATCGACATAAGGCACCGAAACACAGGCATGAAGCCACCTGAGCCAAGACACACCCACAAAGCCACCGAAGTGGAACCAAGGCACCAAGATACAGGCGCAGCGGAAACAAGCACCGAGACACAGGTGCAAAGCCGCCGGAGCAGACCCAAGGACACAGGAACAAGGCACGCGCTGCAACGCAAAACAGCCGAGACTGCAACCCGCAGTCCCGTGATCAAACATCGATTGGGTCAGCCGACAAAGATATAGCTCAGCCCAGCCACTCACATATGTCGCAAAGCAATGCCATTCTGCTTCAAGAAGTGATCCAAGCTGCCCACGCCACCCCACAACAATGCCAGCTTCAATGGGTTCAATGGGTGGCTCGATGCAGGAGGCTCACCGAATGCACCGCACCAAGCATTGGCTGGAAAACCGCGTGGGCCCATCAATGAGCCAGGAACAGTTGTTATTGCCTAAAGTCTTCGCATGCTGGTTGTTGGAAGTCATGCTGGTGTGTGTGTGTGTGTGTGCGTGTGCGGTGCAGACTTCAAACGTGTGGCTGAGATCACCTTTGGTGAATCTTGAGGCTGGACATGAGGAATAGGCATGGCAGAGTATGAAGTGAACATCTGATGCTACTTGCATCTTTTCATGCCATCCTTTCAACTACAACAAGGTTCAACTACTAAAGCCAGACGCTGACACAAGACACGCAACCACAATGACATGCACAAACACAACCACAGCACACAACCCGACGACCCACAGAAAAAATCGAGAACCACAAAACTTACGACCTTGGCAACATGCTCCTCACCATAGCATGAAAACAAATGATTGAACATGTCATGGTGGGGGTCACTCGAAGTAAAGTACTGTAGTTATTTATGTGTTTGTTACACGGTCGTTATATGAAGCTGGACATCCCGGGGACGTGCGATTTCTTTATAACAACTCCACACTTCAGTGCCCAAAACCGCGTCGGACAGGACACCCGAAGAAGTCTTGCAGTCCATCAAAATCCAATTGGCGGGGAAATGCGGGGCAGTACCCCATCCGTTGAGGGAACCTTCTCCTACAGTCTTCAACATTTAAACCCGACGGAAGCTGCCCCGGATTTGGAGGATGGTGTTCTCATCTGCTGGGTGACGCTTAACAGGAACTGCAACTCGCCAGCAAAAAGGTAGCCCCACCAACAGTGCCCTTGATTTGTGCGAGGCCCCCCAGAAGTGCAGCTGAATCACCAAGGCCAAAGCCATTTTTGAGCTGCTGCTCTACCCAGCCGATTTCCAAGTGGATGGTGTCCTTCGTGTGTGTGATTCAATTTGGCCATGGTCGGCGAACGACGAATCCAATGATTCGCACAAAACTTGGTCGAACAAACTCTGCAATTCGATCTTGGCTACCATTGTGCAAGTACCTCATCTATTGGGTATGCTGTAGGAATGGGGCCTGTGAGATTCCCAAAATATCACACAATGGGTGCACTGCCCGAAAAAACTGTTGTAGCAGTGCAGGACTTGCCTGGCGCTTGCGGAGCAAGCCGATAAGCCGGCAACCTCCAAATATACCGTATGAGCCATGGAGTAAGAGGCCACATGTTTGCTCGAACAAGTGAACTGTTCACGTTTGATGTGTCTCTTCAAAAACGGCACTTACATTAGGAGCGAGACACAGCAAAAGACTTATATTGGGCACACCTCCTATCTTGAGACATCTCCGTGCTGTCTCTCTTTTGTGAGGGCATTAGGATTATATTGGGCACCGCAGCACCTCTTTCGGTTTTAAACGTTTAGTACAGAAAGAACGGACCGCACACAGCACGACGAAGCTCGACACTGACCCACCAATCCAGTCGCTCACTAGATCGCATCCGGTCGGTCTTTCCCCAGCTCAGAGCGGTTCCAACTGAAAGCCAACATAAAACCTTGGTTCATCTTGGTTCCTTTATGATCCTTTTATGTAATACAATAATCGTGTCACCAGTGCTTGTCCTTCAGTCTGCCTTGTTCAAGGTAGCTTTCCACTCTTCCTTCATTCAAGTGTCAGCGGTCTGCTTCGTCAAAGCCTGCAGATTTGTCAAGCCCTTTTCAGAGCCTTGTGGGTTCTAGACCCTGTTCTTCTACTTCCCTACCAGCCTACCGGCGTACTACGTTACACGCCACCAAACAAAAATAAGCAAGGAACAGCTTTAAACGGGAGCCCTAAGATTCCAAAACATGTATTTCGTATAGTCGAGGGCTGCTAGCCTATACCCCGTCTTGCTGGCCTATACCGCGTTCCAGCATAGTATAGTCGAGAAGTTGGCATGGTATAGGCGTTAGCATAGGGGATGGTATAGGCTTGCATGGGGCATGATATAGGCGCTCATACCTTGATCACCACCTGTAACAATATTGTTGGGCCCAACTTGCATATTATATATAAAAACAAAAGACACGAGCCAAACCACCACTGGCCCCTCAAGGTAACTTCACTTGTTCCACACGCATCCTATTTCAAGTTGAGCTTGCGAACCCGCTGCTACAAGATTAGCAAAGCGGCTGTCTGAGATAGTTCATTTGCACATCCATTTCAAAACAGTTTTGGAGGGGGGGGCTATCCATGTCCTGGTATGTCCTTTCCACGGTTTCGTATAGGCTGTCCACGGATTCATATAGGCGTTCCACATTCTGTCCACGAGTTGTCCTCGTTTCGTTATTTTATTCAATTCTCGGTGGATGACCCTGCACGTGCACTGTAGACTCGGCGTTCCAAAGATCAGGTTGTGAACATCTCAATTAAGGCCGGTCAAGGCTAGAAAGGTCATGAGCACTTCGATTAGCACCATGTGCCCTTGAGTGAAGTTTAAGGTATATAGTCAACGAAGGGCCCTGGTATAGTCGACCACCAGGTCCTGGTATAGTCGACCAATCCTCCGTTTATCATCGCTCAAATCCCTTGTGCAGTCGACTGACCCTGGTATAGCCTAGCCTATGCCAAATACAGTCGAGGAAGGCCAGGAGGAGTGTTGTAGCATGTGATTGGATGCTAACAACCACATGCGGAACACCTCAATCAGGCGGGTCTTTTTCAGGCATTGGGGTCCGAACCACATGCGCGGTTGGTGTGCTATGGCCTGCCTCATGCCGGGCCTATCGTTCGTTCGGCCCGGAAGGCACCTGTCGACATCACATGTCCGATCATGTCATCCTGCCGACTCAGCGACTCAGCAACTCAGCGAAGGCACCATCAAGCACCACGAGCACTCCACAAAAGCATCCCTAGTAACCCAGCACAAACTTCAGGCTTAGGGCAAACTACAGGGCTTAGGGTTTGTGGGTTTGTGGACAAAGACATGACCAGCATCATCTTCAGCTCCTGGCCTCTGAAGGGACATTTGCTAGGAGCAGGCTGAGGAAGGGAGTGTTGTTGTTACTACTGTGATCTGAAATCTTTCACACACATGTCACATAGGTCGTAAACACGAAGCCGATGGCCTCCGGATGGGTCATCAAGGGGCCTTCTTCATTTGGTGCAATCTGAGGCACAAAATTCAAGTTCCGCCGGATGTCGATGGGATCTTCAATGTGCAAATGCATCCTGGCAGTTGATCCGCTGTGCTATCAGGATCGACCATCAATACCCCCCTTGTGGTGCCATTGTTGCGCGATTGCAGGGGCAAAATGGACCCAAAACATCGTCGGCTCACTGCGCAAACCCCAATCCAGGACCGTGCGGGTCCTGAATCCGGACGGAAGGACCAAATCTGGAAGGTCACTGGAGGATTGACTTTAGCGGGCTATTTAAAGAAGCATGAAGCTGCCTCAAAAAGTTGCAATGTCCAATCTAATTGTGCACCCATGTTTTTTTTGTGCGGCGTCTCCGGCACATGAAATCGAAAATCTATCGCATCTCCAGTGGATGTGTTGGCGCTCAACCCTGGCATGTGTGTGTGTGCCCCCTTCCGTTTTCGTGTGCAACTACCACTCTACCGAATTCAGCAGGGGGACGACGGCCAGTCTTCCCACGTTGCCCAACGGAGCTACAGAAGACTGGTGAAGCATTCAGGGACGCCTGAATGTGTACCTGCGTTTTTGAACTGTTGACCAAGCTGTTACCGCTGCGCCGACGTTTCAACAATACCTGTTACTGACCCATCGCCATGCCGTTATGCAAGTCAAGGTCTATCGTAGTAGCCTGAAGGTCTAATTGATTTCTGACGATCACTAAAAATGATGTTCCTTCATTGGAACTATGAGTCTAAGTGTGTGTGTGTGTGTGTGTGTCACCCCCTGTGCCAAAGGGTTCAGTGCCACTGTTTCCATTACAACCACTCAACGAGGCAGGGGGGGCGTAGCGTGTTCAGATGACTACGCCCAACGAAGCTAGTCTGAACACGGGATACCAGGATTGGCCATCCTGGCGTACCTGCGCTGACGGAACTGTTGCTTAAGCTTTTCCACTTTCTGTTTGCTTCCATGGTCCTTCATGCTACTCCCCACAAACAGGTTTCCCACCGCAGCTTTCAGCCGCTTGTGAATTGCAGCCAGCCGCGCGAGTGAAACATTTTTTCAACAATTCAAGTCACCGGACTCTTTCGCCTTGCCGTTCCACCACCTTCCTTCTCAACTTGGGAACTGAGTTCACTGAATACCAATGTCAGAGTGTGTTTCGCTCAGCCGTCCCACTCGGGTGCTGAGTGTGATCCCGTCACTGGGGCGCTGAATTCATGCCGGAAATCGTGTAACTGAGCTTTTCCACCTTCACCGGAATTCACCACTGGCTCAACCTTAACTGAATTTACTGCTTCCACGGCCGCCGGGCCAAAAAACGGATTTGACCAGCCGCCGGGCTTAAAAACAGAATTCATCCCGCTCCAGGCAGGTCTCCCTACCCTTCCCCCCCCCCACCGTGTTCTACTCCCTACCTAATTAGGGTAACACAGGGAAATGGTACTCGACACACTTGTGTGTCAGTGCCTTTCCCTCTGTTGTCCCTGTCTAGTCTACTCTACCCGGGCGGTTTAAGACTAAAGTCCCGCTCCCTAGCTATTGCACTGTAATTCGTCTCGGCTAAGTAGTCAGTAATCCTAGAGTGCTAAGTATTCAGACACACACATGTACACACACATGGACATACACCCCCTCCCTGCCCCCCCTTTCTTTCTTGCGCTTTCCGTCGTTTGTTGGGCTTTCACTCAGGCTTTTTAGGTTGCTCTTGAGTTTCGTTTCCCTACCCCAGTCAAGGGCTAAGTATTCATTTTCCTTTTCTACACCTACCTTTCTCTCTTGCCCTCTTAGCGCTGCTCTTTCTGTGTTTCTTTCTTTTGTTTCTAAGGCTTTTTAGGTATCTATTCAGGCTTTCCACGCGAGCGCCGCCAAGCGGCGCCGTGTGTGTGTCACCCCGTGTACCAACGGGTTCAGTGCCACTGTTTCCATTACAGCCACTCAACGAGGCAGGGGGGCGTAGCGTGTTCAGATGACTACGCCCAACGAAGCTAGTCTGAACACGGGATACCAGGATTGGCCATCCTGGCGTACCTGCGCTGACGGAACTGTTGCTTAAGCTTTTCCACTTTCTGTTTGCTTCCATGGTCCTTCATGCTACTCCCCACAAACAGGTTTCCCACCGCAGCTTTCAGCCGCTTGTGAATTGCAGCCAGCCGCGCGAGTGAAACATTTTTTCAACAATTCAAGTCACTGGACTCTTTCGCCTTGCCGTTCCACCACCTTCCTTCTCAACTTGGGAACTGAGTTCACTGAATACCAATGTCAGAGTGTGTGCGCGTGCGCGTGCGCCCAGAAAACAATCAGAATTGAAGAACATGTCTGTGATTCGCGCATCCAATCAAGGCATTCTGGGATCCCTAATTGAACAAGAAAGAAATTAGGAATAGAGCCAAGCGCTTTGGTAAAGGTACTCCAAACTACCTGGATCTACAAATGGCAAACAAGAATTGTCCGTACGGCCTTGCCCTTTTTTCGTTACGGCCTACGGCCCATAGCAAAAGAGTTATCTTCAATGGTTTGACCATATTTCTTGGCCATTACCGGTTGCGGCTGAAAGCGGCCAGAAAAAGTAGCCGCTGTGGAGTACTGTATTGGCCCCAATAAATTGGCCGGACGCACGCGCAGGTAGTATTCTGCTATGTCCTCGGTGTGATTCTGCCCACACTGCCATCCATCCAAGATCTATGCCCAGCCACCTTTTGTTCTTCAGCTGAATCAAGCGTCGGGAGCGGATGGTAGAGTTCCGCTGTCCCAGTCGGACTGAGACCACATCCTCAGCGGGAAACCCTCGATGTCTTTCAAATCTAAGGGTGGCAAGCAACATGTGGGCATGCATCAATCCTAGACTCTGAGGGCGTACAAGTAGGTTGCTGTGTGGCTGCTGTGCGTTTTGAGGAGGAAAAGTCCATGGTCCATAGTAACACTGTTTCAGCCCTGAAAGTCCCCAAACCTCAATGCACGCAACTGGGGTGCTTATGTGGACCTCACACAATGAAAAGCAGGCATGCACTGTTACATTGTCACAGGTGTCACATCACCCTATCGGTTTGCAACACGCGCCAACAGTGACAAATAAGCCTGAGCAGTTCCAACACAAAGGCTATGTGTGTACAGCATGCATATAACATTTATGTATAAGTATGTATAAGTCATACGCACAGGAAGTTTGACATCAAAGCTTTCAGTGGTGGATCATGATCACATTAAATCAACTTCAATCGCGTGACTTCATGTTGTTTCCTAAGTGTATTGACCACCCAGGACCTGTGCAAAGTAAAAAGCCATACGTCGCGCCCCCTAAAGGGTGTCCATAAGAATACTTAAGAATAGCTACTTAGACGTGATTCAGTCAGTGTCCATTCACCACTCTGACGCGGTGGCCCTGGTCACCCGGCCTGTTTCCAATCAAACTCATTCGCGTAGAAATCGAAAAAGCCCCGCAACAACTGGGCACAGCTCCATGGCGGCGGGCTGTTCATCCAGGCCTGCCAGATCCAAACTTCCAAACTACAAAAACATAAAAAGCACATGAAGCAACCCCCAAACTGGCTAGACATGTTGTTCATTGGGGTCTATATTCAACATTGCATGCAGCAACGCAGCTAGTCAAGGTCAATCTAAGGTGTGTTTCTGACACCAGATTTTAACACTTAGTTTAGTACACCTCACCAATACGCCTCACCTGACATGTGAGTGATCATCAAGGATGATGACACAAAAGAGTATTGTCAATAGTGTCCGGGAATTTCATTCATTCTATATGGCCAAATGCTAGGGCATTGTCTTGTGTTGACAGCTAAAACCCAAAAATAAACACCTTTGGCAACAATTTTGTCTTTATACAATTGTAAACCAAAGTGTATCTAATAGCAATGGCCTCCAACCTAAGAGCATTCATGTTCATTTGGCACGCTACTCTGATTTGAGCTGAGCGTTGCCCAGCTTTCACTGAACGCCCACAGCAAAAGTTAAACTATTCGAGCCTTACGCTCTGTGCTGTTATCACAGAGGCCAACAAAGACATTGCGGCGCACTTGCAGGAGCCGCCCAAAAGGATATCGCACACGCCAGTGCCAGCACTTAGGGAAGATGCAAGGTTTTCGGGACTCAACAGTCATCAATCAAGTAGGGAGCTATTCGATGACATATTCGATGAATTCGAGGAAAGTTTTGGTTTTCTATTGCATTGGTATGTTCCTGCGTGTATTGAAGGGAGGCGCACGTCTTTGGGCGAGGGCCATTAGGTTCAGCATATGTTGTTGGTTAGCCATGTCCATGTCCATAGGCAGATGTGGGTTAATGAGTGCGTATGCATCCTGACATGTTTCGAGCAGCCAATTAGCTCGCGGTTTGCCTACTCGTCGGGTATATTCGATCCGAGGTGTGAAAGTTCCTGAATCGAAAAGGACTTCTCTCATAGGGTCAAGAGGCAGCGCACGGAGAATGTGCCCTAACAGGCAAATTTTGTTTAGTTTCCATCTGTTCGAGAGACTGACATGCCGGTATCCGAATTGTTGTGATAAGTTTTCTATTATTCGTTGGTTTGTCCATGCTCTGTCAATATATGTGGAAGGTACCCTGAGATTGTTCTTCAGCATCTTCATCTGAAAAACATCTATTGAGTTTAGTTCTGACTTTGTAAGTTGCATGGTCTCTAGCCCATAAAGAAGCTTGGAACTCAGGGTGGCCTCAAACACTCGTAATCTCCACTTTACGGTTGTACCAGCTTTGGACCAGAAAAGCTGTAGCTGTGAAGCCATGGCATTTACTGAGCCAATCCGACGTATAACTTCTGTATGGTTATCCACGGAATCTGTCAACGTTGCTCCAAGATATAAAGCTTTGTGATTTCCGAGGGGCTACAGTACCGTCCAAAAATTTGATAGAGGACGGGTTGCGATTTATAGTCAGGTTTATACATTTGCCCATGTTTAATTTCATGTTGTATTTTCCTGATTCTTGTTGGACAGCCTGAAGAAGTTTGTTAATTGTTTGGGTGTGGGTACCAGAGAGCAAAGTGTTATCTGCGTAGAGGACCTCAGCAAAGTGAATACCTGGGATAGGTTCGAGTTGTTTCGGTGTGTTCAAGGTGTGTCGGATATCTGTGAAAATGGCTGTCATAATGATACTGGAGAGATACGGAGAAAGAGGACACCCCTGCCTAGTACCAGAATCTTGCATCCTGAAGCTCGAATCGATATCCCCTCTGACAACTCTGAATTTTGCTTCTTTGCAAATATTTTGTATAGAGTTTACTATGTTTTGAGGTACTTCTAGCCGTTTGAGCACTTGTATAAGCTTGTATTGGTCAATTTTGTCAAAAGCCTTTTCCCAATCGAGAAGTACAAGGTTCAGATTTGTACCTTGTCTTTCTGCTAGGTCCATCAATCGCCGCGCCAAAAATAAGGCCTGTGAAGTAGATTTGCGCGGCCTAAAACCATACTGTGTTTTACTAATCCATGGGTCAAGTGCAGCAACCAGGCGTTGTTTAAGCATAATTAGCAGCCAGTAACTTATAAAAGGTCTGCAGTAAGGCAATTGGCCTATAATTATCAAGCTGTGACGGGTCCCCCTTTTTGAAATAGAAGCCATATTAGGAAGATTGAGTGAATCGAAGTATTTACGGTTCAGTGAAAAACCTATTGTGAAAAACACCTTTGTGAAAAAACACCTTGGGTAACTTAACAGTCAAATTCCTGTTCATTATTTGTTGGCAACGTCTCACTTTGTTGGTCAAGAACGTCTCAAATCCGAAGACGCAGCTGTGCCGTGCCTCGTGCGCTTCCTCCAGGGTGGCAAAGCGGGCGGCAAAGTCTATGGGTGTTTCTTCGCCCACGAGCGCGTGCAGGCAGGGAAGCTGTCGGGAAATCTGGAAATAGTAGACCACCTCAGAAGAGTTGGCTGTTGAACAATTGTGCAAAAGCGAAATTGAGGAGTTGGAAAGATTCATATATGCTGATTAGCAACAAGAAGAACAGCTTCTGAACGGGATCCCACCCCAATCATCCCCCTTTTTCCCCTTCATCGAAGCCGGGCAAGATATTCAGTTCACGACCTGAGCTGCTCCAAGTTAAACTGTTCCTGTTCTGGTCTTTGTACGTTCATTTTGGCCAACTCAAATCGTTCGTTCGGTTCATTCGACTGAACCTGAGACTCAGTATCGGATACAAGTCGTCTGCTGCATGGAATGAACCAGAATCCGATTCAGGCCCACCTGTCTTTCCACGATGGTCCAGCTACACCTTTGGGTCTGGAGGTGCTAGTTCGGACGAGTGACCATGAGCGTCCAAGCATAAGAAGAGATGAAGCCTGGGGTGTTCAGGGCGCTGGCAGGGACCGAAGGAACTCTCCAAGACCTTAGGAGGAGTTTTTTGGCTTAACTCGATACTGAAAAATGGTATAAACATGTATCGAGACTCGACTGGTGAACATGACGGAGTCGATACTGTGCATCAAACGGGGTGAACAAGCTACATGTTGAAAGTCTTTTTTGGGCCCAGACAGCAAAAAAGAACAGTAGCTGACCGGGTGTTGAATTCAGATTCTTGAGCAAATCACTATACAAATTTGTTCACTTAATGGTGAAATCTACAACTGAAACCGACCAGCTTTCAGCCTTCCGTGTGCGTGGGGGGAAGGACTTTCCCACGAGAGTCAGGATGAACAGATGTCGTGATACAGAATGGCGATCCCCAAGCCTTTGCGATACAGACTCGCATGATCTCATAACTCATTTCCGGTCTTTGGTGTCCACATACTGACAGCAGTTCTTGATTTGTGTTCCTGAGCCGAATAAACAGAACACCCATGCCATGTGACGCCTCAAACTGATTGGCACTCCGTTTAGGCGATAATTGGTTCGGACTGCAGGTATGACATACTTGTGGGCCAGACTTGGATCCCAACTCCGCTCAATTCGCCCAAAGGCCGCTTCTACCAGGGTGCTTGTGTGTGTCTAAGGAAAGCCCCGGAATGAGGTGATTCAGGGCAGGGTGTTCATCAATCACCTTCTGTGGCCCTGGTATACATTGTATCCATGTGCCATATCATATCCTGAACACAGGTGGCAGGCGGCACGAACCGCAAAAACAGAAAACAATTCGCCCACCTCCACACCCCGCTGCGGCTACCATGCCTTCATAGGACTTGGCGATGTGATGTGCCTTTGCCCAGCGTTTCACCGCCAGAGCCACCACAGAGAGCCGAGGATTCAGCAACGTGTAGCCTGCGGCAGCTTGGCAGCCTCTAAGGGGGTGTGCCACGCGCAGCGTTTCACATCGTTTCAAGACCGGCCCCCTTGCATACCACACCTTTTCACACCCCGTCCCGGGTATAGTGGGACGGAAGGGGTTTTGTTTTGACCGAGGCTCTGCGTAAGAGGCGGGTGTTCAGGAGTGGGAGCAAGTTGTTGTAGCTCACATCGATGTCAAAGCCATCCTTCCTAGAACGTGGATGTGGCCAGCTGGAGCGATGGACGTCTTGCCCTCAACCTTGAGGGGACCAGCTCTTCGTTTTTTAAGCATGAGGTGTCAAGAAACATCACTTTGGTTTGCAAGGACCCCCCACACTCCCGATTGATACTTTCAGGGAACAATGGACGTTGGAGCACATGCCGAATAAGAATCAGAAGGGTGTGCCCAGCAAAGTACTGAAGTGCCGCTGAACTTTTGAGTAAACCAGTGATGCGGTGCAGCTCGGGATTGGGCTCCGAGAGAGGGCCTCTTGCTCCGGCCCTGTCTTTGTGCTATCCACCTGCATAAAGGGCCCACCAGCGCCCCGCATCGCAAACCATATCATTGATTTAAACGGATACTATATATCTCATTGTCCCTGGACGATGTGGTGTTGCTCTTGCACAGGGGGGGGAGCAAACTTGCAGCCTCACAGTGGCAACAAAAGTGTCGGCGTATCGTATGAGAGTATGTATATGAGAGCATGAGGGGCGCCAGCAGCACCACCACAAATAACACAGCGGCTCGGGCACAAACTGTGTCCCCTAAGACTAGGTTCAATCGGGAAAACATCCCCGAAACAACCCTCTCTTGAGACTGATGCCATGCCTTCCGGAGGAGGAAACCCTCAATCACCGGAAGTGAGACATGGTGCCATTACCGTTGGATTTCTGATGTGATACTGGGAATCAACATTTAATTACACTCTTCAAATGTCTTCCACATCTCCAATTAATTAATGGATTGGTTAAAGGGACACAATAGCCCATCCCTACGAATCCAAGTACCTTGTCAAAAGGTGATGTGTTCGACACTGTTCTGTAGGTGCCAGGAGGGTCCAGTCGTACCGAACCTGAGGTTCGGTACAGTCGTACATTCCTGGGGCATCGATGTTCAAACAACTGGTCCGGTCTATTTTCCGAACCTTGCAGCGATTTTTTTGGCTCTGCGAGGTCTCCCTAGGCCCTTAGACACTCCCTAGTTTGGATGAATGGCATGGTGCATAGCTTTAAAAACACATTCAACGATATTCATGCAGCCCGTGGAATGCGGCATTGAATTGTCTCATGCGATCCCAGTCTCTCCAGGATCAGGATCGGCACCTTCGATGACGAGCGCAGCTCGTGCACCACGAAGCCCTGTACATCGCAGACCTTAAGCGCACCGAGCGGAAGAGTGCGCATATAAACGATGTAGAATCTTGATAAGTAGGAAAAGAAGTGGGCTCTCTAATTCATGTAGACTGTAGACCGTTGATTAATACATAAAGAAGTTTTACAATCCAAATCATTGGTGCGGTAATCAGGATTCTACATTGTGACGGATGACATGTGGGTGCCACTCATAGCCTTAACATCATGAAACAACTCGAGCCGCAGTCTAGACTGCTCTGAAAGGAATGTGATCAACGTTGCATAGATAATGATTAGCGGGCGACTGTTGGCAAAGCAGTCCCCCCCAAATCATCCAGCCACGCTGGGTCCAAACTTGGCAAACCCGCATCCATTTGCCATCTGATTCTGATCCACATGGTGACTCCTTATCCATGATCCGAAAGCAACATCTCCGTGCTTTGTCCGACATGCCTCCACCCAGTGCAGCACCCAAACCGCGCCTCGCCCAAGGCACACAGGGCTGACACTTTGTCCCTGCACGCAAGCGCTTGATTAAGAAAAATGGCCCCGGGAGGCTGCGTGCCTGGTGTAAAGCATGCACAAAACATAGAGCATTGCATGAGGTGTTCATGTTGTCGGGAAGTGACTTATAGGTGTCCCTCTTTTTGCTGAACACCCCAGGTCATCAATCGAGTCTTCTGAGAATTCTAGATGAAATCGCCCTGCTTGGCGGCACTTTGCGACATGATGTACTGGTGGGCAGTGGGCTGCGGCAACGCCTGGCAGGGTCCCAGTGACTCACTCCAATGGCTCAGCATCCCATAGCTGCTGCGCTAAGCTTCTGCTCATCCACCAGGTTGAAAGCTATTCAAACGAGTCCACAAGAATGCTTGGCAATATGACCCCCCTGCAAACGAACATGTGAAAAAGAACCCCTGTAAGAATCTTCTGATCTACCACCCAGTGGTTTTCAGAATCCATGTAAAGCTGCGGGGCGGGAGGTAATGCAATGGAATGGGTCGCGCCTCGATTCGATGCCTCCCCTCTTTCAGAGTCTTGGTGAAAACATGTGAAAACCATTAAAAAAAACAATAAACACCCACACCCAGCGACATGCCCTCACCAAACCCATCAGACTAAAATGGCTTTCAATTGGGGTCACTTGCCACCAGACTCTCTTGACCTCTTCCCGAGGAGACCATATACCAAAGAGATGGTTTGGGGGGGCTGTTTCATGCTGTTTCCCTGCATATCGAGGATCATGGTCTCGAAGGCGTCACGTTCCACGTTCCACTGTGTTGCGTGCGCACGGATGATTGATCAGAGGGACATGTCTGTCACGCACGTTCCATCACGAACTCGTTCGAATGAATCATAGTAGGTGTCATGTCTAGTACCGGTTCTTGTACCGTATACCGGTGCTACACGAAGAACGCACCTACGGTGAACCGGGTCTCATCCATTCTCATCCGGACCGGTCGGACGTCGACCCGTTTCTTTTTTTCTGTTGTTGGGGTCGGGAGGGGTGAACCGGGGTCCCCAAATCGATGTAGGGAACAGTTGCAGTTATTAGACATATCATTCTATTTCATTATATCATACCCCACCTATGACCCTAAAAAAGGAACTATATATATATATTCCATTCAGGGCTTGTCTGGGCTTGGTGACCTTTCAACGTTGATTATGGGGATGGGATTGACGGCATGTTGGCATCTCACGTTGGACAACTCTATCCTGGGTGGAATCCTGGAAACATGTAGAACAAAGTAACTCACCCAGAAGAGGTTCTCGCTTCGAAGTCAACGGCCATAAACAGAAATGCAAGAAGAGGCAAGAGGCTATTTAAGGTTTTTCCCCCAGATCCTTGGAAGCACTGATGACCATCTGAGATACATGAGAGCCCAGTCTTGCACCTGTGATACCCGTCATAGGAGCCGGTGAGACGACGAACCCGGAGGACCATCGTTCTGGAGGGTGGACACATGGATTCCTCATACGCCATGTTTTTCACGTCGAGCGATCCATGGCCTCTTATTCCGGTCAGGTCGAGCAGGGTGACTCACCACCATATCCTGCAAATGCAAACCATGCCGTGTGACCATGGAACACCGTGGTGACCTTGCTGAGAAACCTCAATCTAGCGAGAGTCCATTCACCTCGTGTCCAACGGGAATGATTCATGACAAGAACATTTCAAGTGCTGTGCACAAGTTCGGCATCTTAAGAACAAGGTGATGAGGAGTGACGAAAAGTGAGCCACGCCCCCCCGCGTCACTGACGCTTCTCCAAACACAGGATGAACGGAATTGCTTTTAGCATCTTTTAGCAGGGCTCACCTCGACTTCAAGGGAAGCTGTTTGCAAAGAAGGGGATGCTGACACAGGCTATGCCTATGCAAATTTGCCAGCATGTGGCGCATGTCCTGAAAGACCTGGATCAAAACCGGGTGACACACAAACAATAATACCAAGTCAGGAACACAAAAGCGGAAGCGCCTTGGATCATGACCCTACAAACAGACCTAGTACCAAGTTTAGGAAGCAGAAAAGGCGTGAAGAGGTATCATGGTAAAATATGGCCAAGATTCATTCATGTGATTTCACGTTCATCCTCTACCTTGCTACACCTTGCTACTGTACATATGAATCTGGGGGTCATCTGCACAACTCCAGGGCCACCGAAGAGTTGCGTCCTCTGGTACACCCCCGTCGCTCTTAGGGTGGAGGCGATAGTAGGTTGGAGGCCAAAGCTCTTAGGGTGGAGGCCATCACAAGTAGGCTGGAGGCCATTGCTATTAGGTTGGAGGCCATTGCTATTAGGTTTATTTGGTTGGAGGCCATCGCTCTTAGGGTGGACGTCATCCCTTCCAGGTTGGAGGCCGCTAGTAGGTACCCCCCCCCTTCGTTGGATCTCGCTTTGGATCCCGGCCATGTCGGCATCGCGCTCCCCACAGCCATTGGCGCTGGAGCCGAAGGGCCACACCTGACAGGGCAGAGGGCCGAGAGGTGGGGGACACCCGGTCGGTCATGGAAAACAGGAAAACAACTCACCCGGTGTAGTGACTGTAGTGTAGGCAGAAGATGTCAGTACATGTCGGTCAGTACTGACCCCATGGGCCCCATGACATTGGAATAAGAATCAGACATGGTGGTGGTGGCTCAACATGACTCACTTCGGTGCCAACCGTTGGGTGTATGTGTCCGTTGTCGCTTCAAGGTGCGAATTCATCACCCACACTGAAGATATACTTAAACTTCTGGAAACTTGAGCAACACCTCTCCAGGCTGCTTTCGCAACTGGTGCAGGGAATCTAATTTTAATACACATTCAATCCTTCTACTTGCATTCCGCACCCTGAAGTCCTGGATTCCACGAACCAGAAAGCACACTGAAGCCACCACTTTTTCCGCCGCGCGCACGTGCAGCTGCTTCCTTCCCGCTTCGCTTCTCTGGTAGCTCACCCGGTAGCGTCCCGGCGCACCACGCACCTCCACCGGCGGACCCTCCTCCTCATCCAGAATCGCCTCGGACGGTCGTCAGCATCTGCGGAGTTGGAGTCCAAGCAAATCTCCAAGTTAGAATGCGCAAACAAGTCAACTGATATGTTTCAAACCTATATAGATGGTACAAACAAATCGACTCATAAGTTTACCCAATCTTGATTGCAAAAGCCCATCGGCTTATAAGTTTCTCAAATTTAGAGGGCACCATCTTATGGACTCATATACATTCATAGGCCACATTGTCATGTGCCATTTGACATCAATAGTAGCCTCATCAAGGTGTACCTCTGTCTTTTCTCAATGATGGTCTTGATTCTTGGGTGATTTATTCTGGATGAGCTTGTAGGGGCTTGGGCTTGCGACGGTGCTGGTGTGGCCAAAGGTCAATGACCTTCCCTCGTTTCACATAGCACATGTCCGTGGATTTGGGAGCGCGTCCTCGTCAGCATAGCCTAGCTTATTTATTTAGAAGCGGGAAATCAATGGTGAAGTGATTTCTGTTGCGTTGTTGTTCTAATCTTGTTGTTGTTGGTGGTGGTGGTCGTCGTTGCTGCTAATGCAACTTGACAATATATGCATCATAATTTGGTATAACTGTTGCCTGCCTGAGATTCAGCACTCCGCTTGCTGATATCTTTTGGAGAGTCTACGTACACTCTGACCCACGTTTGCCTACGTTCAGCTGGAAGTGGAGGGCGACCCCAAACATTCGGTGCATCCGAACTGGTCCTGCACGAACGTCTAACTGCCAGTTTGGCCATAACGGAAACTGGTCCGTGGGGCACGGAACATGAGAGGCCACAAAATGTCCCTGGTGATCATTTTGATATATGTTGAGTGTACATGACTTACAGTTGTTAATGTTTTAGGACCACATGAATTATCAATCTCTCCAGCTTGGATCGGAGGACCAAGAGGAACAACCCTAAATGTCCTGCTGTCTCAAGGACAGCACCGTCTTTTGCGTGGAGAAAATCCACCTGCTCTAGCAGCACGCAATGCTGGTCAAGGATCAATCCCAAAGTTCCAACTTCGCTCCTCATGCCGGTTGCACCGCACACGCCGCCCCAGGTTCTGCTGAAACAAGTGCTTCTCATTCGTTGGGGGGGTCTATTTCTTAGAATTCTCACGGATGATGACACTTCTCACGTTAGGACAGGCGGTTTATTCATTCCAACAAATCATTGGAATCTTTCTTTAGTGCTTATGGTTGCACACGTTAACAAACACATGACTTTTACAAACTCTACTTTGCTAATTTGTGAATGGGAATAACAACATGACGGGATGCAAAGTACGAATTGAAAGCTATGAATTGAATCCACGTGGAGGCAGTGTTAAATTTTAAAATGATTCAGCAAAACACCAGAAACTGCAGCTGCCCAACACCTCCTATCCATTCCTCTCCTGCATCTGCTTGGCTTCATCCCTTTCATCCAGCTCCAACCGTTGGATGGGGTATGTCCAGAGAAGCTGAACCAAAGACTGCTCGGTCTGAAAGAGATCCGCCCGCTCGTGCCGCCCGCGCGTGTTGTCAATCTTCTCGCCATCGACCCAAGTTCGGTTTAACCTCAGCGGCTGCCCATTCGGTCATCGGTTTAGCCCGGTCACAGTGTCGGCGGTGATGTAGTTCAGAAAAAGAAAGTGTTGACTAATTCATGAAGCATGTCTAGATCACAGAGTTGGTTTAAGGGAACATCTACAGGAAATCTTGCGAGTGAAAGCCATGGCTTCCGGTAGAATAAATCTTGGAGTAGAGCTTCAGCCGTGAGCCTGTCGACCCAGAAGTTGACGACCGTTCATTCATCACCTTCCAGGCCCTACACATGTGATGAACAACTATTTCTGGGATCCAGCCACTGGGGGGGTGAAAAGGAATCTACCATCAACATGATGTGTTGTGTTTAAGATCTTCAAAAAAGGTGATAGCTGATAAATCAACATGAGTAAGATCAATCATGTAGACTCTTGATGGGATCTAACCCCCTAGTAGAATGGTCTTACATCTAACGGTGGGGACTATGAAGCCTATGAACCCATCCGCGTCTGACGATCTCAACGGTGGAAACGGCAACGACCCGCGTGACGCATCTGAGGCCTCGAGGTCTCTCCCTCACTCGACACACATGCGGGTCACACCGGAGTCCCAACGAGTCCTCATTTGTTCTGAGTCCCACCTGCGCCCCGGACCGTCCGACAGCGAAGAAGATCCAATCCAAACCCCACAGAATCAAAGGAGAAGTTCTCTAAAATCTGTAAGTCACATGAGCCTGCTGAATTGAAAACGGCTTTTTGAGCTCCTTCCTGAGCGAAAAGAAACAAACGCTTGGCACGGCACATTGGATGGTTCTCATCCATGGGCCCCCAGTCCGTATCAGGATGATACGCGATGACATTGAGCCTCGGCTTCAGCTTCTTCAGCGACTGCGAGGCTAAAGACCACAGCGTGAGTGTTCAACAGGTTGAAACCCTCCAGTCTGTCGAAAGTCGGGTCATTAATTACCCTCCATCCAACAAACATGGAAGTGAAACATTGCCCCTTGGAAGACTGAATTCCTCTATGAACAGGCTCTATTCCACTTCCACGATTGTTTCAGGGAGGGTATATACTTGGTGGCTCGTTTTCACTTCGAAGAACGAGAGCCGCAGGCAGGTGGATTTCCACCTACATGTTTTCGAGGCAGCCGGACGGCACCAAGCCTAGTCAAGTGGCTCGTCTGAATCGGTGTGGAAGGAGTGGATGGTGCCACTGGGAATGGCCCAAACCATCCCTGGACAGTGGAACAGTGGATGGCACCTTGTGATCTATGAGCAAATCTAAAAGAATCAACCACAAATTAGACACATGTCAATTAAATGCCGCCTGTATGAGTATCAAGAACTTGCAGCTATTCCAATTGATGTGTCCAAAACTGTAATGGCGGTTGTGGACTGATGGGACAAATTCCGCAAATAAACATGATAGATTAACATATACATATATATATATATATATATATCTGCGTCCATGCAACCGTTGTCCAGCACCGTTGAATTGACCTTCTGCCTATCATGAGTGGATCAGGACGCTCCTCCCTGAAGGGGATGGCACCGCCCCGCTTTAGCTGATGCCTGAAAGCAACTGTCCTCTTCAGTCCTCTCCAGTCCTCTCCGACATGCCTGGCTCCAAGTCGATGCGCTTGCCTGAGCCCTCCATACAGTAGCCAGACCCACTGGCGATCAGGCCGCAACCTGACGTGGGGCGGCGGCCCAAGCAATAGCGCCTGGGAGCCTTGCAAAATGATCAAGATGCATCAAGTTGCTTGAACTTAATGAGCGAAACATGCAATACAAATCCGCCAATCACATTCCTCGGAAGCTGGAGGAAAATCCCAACCTTAAATCAAGGAGGTGGCAGTCTGACTGTTGTGCACCATGGTGTTGTCAGGAAGCCTTTTTGCAGAACCAAGTCAGATTTTGCGTTGGATGCTCATGCCCCGCCGGTGATGCTTCTCAGAGTAGAGAGTAGGTGGTCACAACAGCACAAGGGATGTCTAGGGGGATGCCATCTACCCTGAAACACTAGAAGTTTGATTAATGAATCTCCCCAGTTGAATTGTAAAACCTCTTGATACGGAGGGGTCTTCTGTCACCCCCTTTCATTCCTCCACCCGCCGCCCCGTGCTCCACACCCTTCCTGCTCCCAGAAACGGAGAGAAGGATGGGTGTGCGGTGTTTGTCGGATGCCGGGCGGGAAGTGCAAGAGGTTCATGCAAGGATCTGCCAGCTTGGGCGGTGCCAAGAGCAGTGTGTCCTTGGTCACGGTCAAGAGCTCAGCGCTTGTAGTTTTTCAACTCACAGGCCTCAAACCTCTCCAACATCAAAGCCAATGAATCACCGATAGCTAATGAACAAACCTCGCCCGAGTTGCTTTGACCCGATGACCCTAAAAAAAGAATTAACCAACAAACACAGAACTAAGCCTCCAGATGTCTCAGCTGGACACGCCCCAAGCCCACGACCCACCGACCCCTTTCTATTTGCTGCGTAGACCCACTTGAAGTTGGTGGCAGTTCATCCGCATCCAACCGTTTATCTAGCTCAGCATGCTTGCGGCATATCTGCATCTCCATCCGTTCCGGCAAATCAGCATGCATGTTTACCAGTGTGACTTTCCCAAACTTTGGATGGATAAAATACTATGAGGTAACATTTCTCCAAAACCAATTGAGGTGCTGGAAACTGGAAAACCTTGATGGATTGAAGGGTCGTATGGGAAGTCCTACATTGCATGGCTCAATTGCCCCAAAACCGTTGGAATGACCATTCCCAACTACCAGGGCCTGCCAGGGGGATAAACAACCAGCATCATTCCATCATCAATCCGAATGATGGCCCACTCTCAAGATGCATCCTCAAGTACTCCCATCCCCCCATACCCTGAGGATCTTCTCCCCATTCTTCTGCACTTCGGGCCTCGGAACACTTCTTCCCATCCGCTCGCCCCGGAGACCGCCTCTCTCCGGTGTGAGGCACCGAGCACCCGTCGACGTAGCGCAGCCGGCCCTGTGGCTCCACGGGGCCGCCGAAGCTGCGCAAGGCCTGAGGCGGATCGCGGTCGGTGACGGGGGAGCATTGATCGAATTGGCTGAGAGGTAGCAGCTACAGGGGAAGCACTAAGTCATGCCTAAGTCCTGCCTAGGTTGTACCTGGTAGCTTTTTCTTGGGGTCCAAGATGGATCTGGGGATCAAAACTAAAAAGCCTGAATTGGTGATTCTGATCTGCTGATCTGGATGGATCATGAAGGTGGGTTATGCAATGTTATGTAACCCCAACTTCGGTGTCCCCCAAGAGTGAGCATAGTGAAGAAATGTCCATCAATGATTCTCCCATGACCGCCAGCTAGTGAATGATGACAATTAAGTTAACAACCTCATGGTCAGTTCTTCAATCATGGTCAGTTCAGCACATCCTCCCCCTTCTCCCACCGTGAAGGGCTCCGAGTGAATCGCCACCAGCCGTGTGCCCTTGGCCAAGCAAAGGTGGACCTGCCAAGCGAAGAGGATTCTCGTTCAGATGATTCCAGTGGTGATCACCCCCAAGTACTTCCCTGTGCTTCTAGTACATTGAGCTTATCAGCCCTGGGATCGGTTCAATACATGGACGGTCTGGGTTCGAGCCGAAGGAGGGACCGTCCAGGGTCCAACAAGCTCATGCCCTTTTCGGTCTTCTTTTCGACCCTTTTCGGACGGCGCAACTGATGGTCACCGCAGCACTCCCTCCTGTTCGGAACCCCATGTCCTCCAGCACTCCCCCCCATGTCCATCGCAGGTTTCAGCCAGAGGAAGGGAGTTTTGGGAGGGTCAGACATGTTCAGACTGGTGGAGATTCGATGAAGAGTTGATGATTTTGCTAAGACTTGATGTTCTCTTTGTGGCCTTTCAGGCCTTTCAGGCAACTCAATTGTTCAACCCCAACACTCCATCTATTGGAAAAGTACCTATATACATGCTTGGGTGCTGAAACAAAGCCACCAATGTAAAGCAACATCCCACACCGGGACCGGACAGCACGCATGTTGCCGGTACATCTTCCAGTTCCGCATTGTACCAAAGAGTGATCCCCGAAACATAGATGAAAACAGTGAACTCCAGAGCTTCCTTCCAAACATCTGCTGGACATCCCTGTGGAGGCTGCG